ACCAATTTGAAAAACTCGGTGTTTGGAAGTTGAGTTACCGAAGGGAAAAAAGTCTCTTGACACACGATGGGTCTATCGTAACAAGCAGGATGATTCAGGGGTTATTGTGCGAAACAAAGCTCGATTGGTAGTTCGTGGGTTTCGACAAGTCGAGGGTCTTGACTACACTGAAGTTTATGTTCCAGTAGCTCGCCTGGAGGCTATTCGTATCTTCCTAGCGTATGCGTCGTATATGAACTTTACTGTTTTTCAAATGGATGTCAAGACTGCCTTCTTGTATGGCAAGGTGAAGGAAGAAATCTACGTTGATCAACCTCTAGGGTTTATCGACTTGAAGTATCCTAATCGTGTCTACAAGCTGGACAAAGCGTTATATGGGCTGCATCAAGCTCCTAGAGCATGGTATGCAACCCTAACAAAGCATTTGCTCGAACATGGCTACACTCGCGACACTATCGATCAAACATTGTTCATAAAGCACGTCGACAAGGACCAGATACTCGTACAAATATACGTCGACGAGATAATCTTTGGATCAACGAGCCAACAGCTTTGCAAGGAGTTCGAAAGTGTAATGAAGAAACGATTTGAAATGAGTTCCTTGGGAGAAATGACCATGTTTTTGGGGCTTCAGGTTAAACAGAATTCAACCGGAATCCTGCTACATCAAGCCAAGTATGTGGAGGATATTCTTGAGAAGTTCGCGCTTCACGATGCTAAATCTGCTTCTACACCGATCGCTGAACGACCTCTTCTGACTCCAGATCCTGAAGGCGAGTCCGTAGATCAAACTCTCTATCGATCAATGATCGGATCGCTGATGTATCTTGCTGCTAGTCGACCTGACATTATGTTTGCAGTCTGTCAATGCACACGCTATCAGGCTAATCCTAAACTTTCTCATCTTATTGTTGTTAAAAGAATTTTTCGGTATATCAAAGGAAGCCCTAAATTGGGCCTTTGGTATCCAAAGAATTCTGAATTTGATCTTTATGCTTTTACTGACAGTAATTATGGAGGCTGTGAGCTTGACAAGAAATCAACTTCAGGAGGATGTCAATACCTAGGTAACAGATTAGTTTCATGGCAATGCAAGAAGCAGCACACTGTCTCGACTTCAACAGCAGAGGCAGAATATGTTGCTGCATCAGCTTGCTGTTCTCAAGTTATCAGGATCCAACATCAGCTGTTGGACTACGGTTTGAATTACTTAGAAACCCTTATCTATTGTGATAATGAAGCGGCAATTCAAATGGCTAAGAACCCAGTCCAACACTTTAAAACCAAGCACATCGACATTAAAATTCATTTTATCAGAGACTGTTATGAACGATCTTTAATTCGGATAGAACATGTCCACACTGATAACAATGTGGCGGACTTGTTCACAAAGCCATTTAACAAAGCTCGCTTCGATGTGCTTGTGGGATTTCTGAAAATGATACGTTTTGAGGATTAAGTTTTTTTTTATTTTTCTTTTCTTAATTTGTTTTATTTTTTTTGTTTTTTTTATTTGTTTACATTTTCATTTTTTTGTTTTAGGATAGTTTAAATTTGCGCATTATTTTGTTTCGTATTCTCACCCATGCACAAATTTAGGGGGAGAAATAATAATCCAAAAACAACAAAAAATTAAAAAATAATAAAAATCCAAAAATAGCGTCATTTCTGTTCAGCATTTTAAAATTTATTGTTGACAACTTCGGTTGTAAGTATTGTGATGGGAAATGAAATCAGCTAGTGATAACGGACAATCTAAATCGACGTAATGTAGCTAAGTTGAATCGTCTATGCTCTGTATTCGATGTGCTGGTAGGCATGAAAGACTTTAAATGGACTTGACTAGGAAAAGTTGAACCTAATAAATTTTATGGACTTGACAAGCTTTGACCTAGTTAGATCCGTTTAACCTGATATCACGACGCTCGGATAGGTTGAGCAGGGAGATATACATGGGAATCTATCGGTTACACTAAATAACCCGTATCTGGAACTGTAGAGTCACTTTTCCTCGATGTGCGGATTCTGTCCTTAATTCTGGTTCGATGGGGCGACTGGTAAATTCCGATAAATTAGGTATGTAGAATATCATTTTCTTTCTTTCCTACTGTTAGTCATATGCTGCACCCTTTGCGTGATTGGAAGAGATCCGACCTGGATTACAGCATATGCAACTCTATTTCTCTGCATGTGATATCTATGAAATTTCTCCTATCTGTTAGCCATATGTTGTCTCCTTTGCGTGACCTCAAATCCGACCTGGTACATAGCATATGCAACTTTCTACTTCTCAACCCCTCTAAAGTGATAAGTTATTTAATTCTAAATCTATCTTCTCTCTGAATGGTTGTCTGCTCACCCGGTGTAAGGAGTACTCTGGAAGTTCTTGATGGCTGGGGCTTATCAGGAAGTGGGAAACACGTTCTGGTACACTTAAAATTGAACACATACAGGTTGTCTATAGATCTCGCTGCTCGATTTAGGTGGACAACAATATCCCTGGTTGTAGTCAGTTAAATGGTCATAAGGTAAATTTATTTAAGATTTAGGATTTATCATAGTAATAGATATTTATAATTAGATATATGCCTGAATCTTGTCATTGGTAAAATGTCCAAAACTATTAAAATTTTTCATGTTTAAGTGGACCACAATACTGACAATCGATCAGACGGAGATGTGAAGATAAGGGTACCGAGAAGTGAATAAGATTGTCCAATAACTTTGATCCAAGCATCGCAAAAGTAATAGTGGTTAAGTTTTTTTTTTTTTTTTTTTTTTTTTTGTTTTGTTTTGTCAAAATTTTATTTGAATTTTATTTTTACTTTTAAAATTTTAATTTTAATTTTTTTAATTTTTAATTTGCAATTTTAAAATTTTATTTTATTTTGTTTTATTTTTTTTTACTGTTTTAGTTTTAATTTTATTTTGTTTTGTTTTTAATTTTCTAGCAATTAAATTGTGTTTTGTTAGTTTTATTTTTATTTTATTTTTATTTTTATTTTCGAAATTATTTTAAATTAATCCTCAAAGTTTTTTTTAATTTTAATTGTTGGAAGTTGAAAATACTGGGTAGTTATCAAGTAAGAGGGTAAGTGAAGGTGAAAGAGGGTAAAAGGAGTTCACTGCCGGAATCTCCTCATTCACGAGATTCCGGCCGCAAACACCCCTTCAAACCCTCTCAATTGATTTTCGAAAAACCGTTTACATCATCACAAAGGTAATCACTTCTAGATCACGAATATGTATTTTGTTTCGATTTTCACCGTGCCATTATGTCGGAAATCGCAAAAACAGATCCGACGGAGCTTACGGCCGTAAGCTCCGGCCGTAAACTCCAAATGTTTGCGATTTGGTTTTGTTTCTAATTTATCTTGATGCTACTGATCTTTACATTTACATATCTTCAAACGTTGTGCATCAATTCGTTGTGTAGGATCGTGGTTTGGCAATTTTTCGGTTAAATGTTCTTCGGCCGTAAACTCTGTGTTTACGGCCCTGGAACAACGAGTTCACTGCCTCAATTTTAATTAATTAAGAAAATGAATTGCAATGAGTTTACAAAAGGTTTCTTAGGCCGTAAACTTCGAGTTTACGGCCCAAGAACCGTGTTTACTGTCGGAGTTATTATAAATTAAATCTCATAATTTTTTTTAGAACCTTGGCCGTAAACATGTTGTTCAACTCATGTTTGTTTAAAAAAAAATTAATTAAAATTTTATTTTGATCATATTTTTGTCTAGAATATTTTTTTTTGGGTCAAAATAAATTTTAATTTGAGGTTTCTTACAGTTTGTGTTTGAGTGCAGACAATAACGAACTTAAAATTTGCAGATATACACAACCTTGCAATTGTACTCGCAGATCCTCCAGCTATTCATTATGATATGCGTTCGATGATTCATCGGTTGCGTGAATGCTGCTTAGCATCCGCAATCACAGTCAATCCGGTGGTGTATCAAAATTTAATTCGCGAGTTTTGGGCGACTGCTAAGACATACATGGATGATGATGGCAATTTTACCGTGAAGGCAAAAGTTCAGGGTCGAGAGATTGTCATTGACGAAGGCTTTATTCGTGAAGCATTGTTGATTGATGATCAACCCAACTTCCCAACAGAAATTGGAATCGAAGATGCTTAAAGAATTCTGCGAAGAATGAGTTATGAGGGAACCTTTCCGCCGACACTGAAAAAGTTGTTACATCCATACTTGAGGTTTTTGGCACATGTTTTTGTTAGCTGCATCTTGGGAAGGAGGTCTGGAGCAGACGAGATTTCTCAGCGCACAACTGGTGCACTGGTATCTCTTGCTGCTGGCATAAGATTCAATTTCTCAAAGTTCATCCTTGATGAATTTGTTATCAACATCAGAGCCTCTACCCGAGATACTTTTCTGTTGTATCCCCGGTTCGTATAAATGTTCATCAACATTCAGTTTCCCAACGTAAGGAAGGAGGGAGAGACATTAGATATGAAGTCCTTGGGTCCCCACACGGTGGGACTCGTCAAAAAGAATCGAAAAGGCAAGTTTATATTTCAAGGACTGTATCCTCTGGAAAAGTTTGGCAAGTTTACAAAACTGGATGAACCAACAGAGTCTTACGAGTCGTCCGAGCAAACATCCTCGGAGCAAGCATCTGCTGAAAAATCATCTCCAAACAATATTGTTATCGATGTATCAGAGGATGAAGAAACCGAAAAAGAAGATTCACCAACTCCTAAAGCTCAAACTGTCTCAGAACATGAAAAGGAGTTGAGTGATGATCAAGTTGGTGGAGAGATGCATGTCGGTGAAGAGAGAAATGATTCATTTAGTGATCTTGATTTAACTGGTTTTGATCGTGATGATATTGCAGCTTCTTTGGCGAGCAGTGCCAACATTGTGTCTCATGAAAATCTTGACACAATTTTCAACAATGTCGATGATGTTGTTCTAAAAACAACTGAGACAAGGAAATCAAGCGAGACATTTGAAACTCGAACTCCTACTTCAAAGAAAATGGTGTCTACTTCTATTCCTATGGAGATGGTTATAGGATGTTCCCCTCCTGTATCCGCTTCTCCTACATCCGAACCATTCATGAGTGTGTTTACCCCAGAATCTGACCAACCTCAATCTAAGAGAACAAGACTTGATGTGAGGCAATCTGAGCTAATCGCAAGTTTGGTTAGCGGTCTTCCTACCCCTCCTGTCACTACTACTACTACTAGACTCACCACTACCAAGATGTTCCCTACTGGTCCAAGTTCAGAATTTCATGTTGCTGGTCCCTCTGCACCACCCGGTTTCTCAGTTCCTAGATATAATCGGGATGCTGCTTCTGAAAGGCAGGCACTGCACATGGCAGAAGAACAACTTCTATCGCCAGGCCCTCGAGGAAAAGGTGTCTCTATTGATGAAGGTGGTGCTAGGGGTGACAATCTCACTCTTCCTGGTTTGTAGAAAGAGATTTCAGTTCTAAGTCAGAAGAATATTGAATTAGATATTCAGGTAGCAGAACTTCGTGCCGAGAAAGTCGATCTTCGTATTCAAGTCTCCAAGCTACAATCAGATAAATCTAGTCTTGGAGGACGATTGGCTGAGCTCAAGAAGGATAAGAAGCTGAAGACTAAGCAGATTTCCGATTTGCAAGATCATTTTAATCTGCTAACTTCGAGCTATTTTGAACTGAAGAAGAAACTCGAAGTTGATCTTGGTGACAGATATCAAACGTCCGTTGAGGAACAGAGAATTAATCTTCATGTACAAGCTTTTCCAGTAGACTTGCCAGTCTGTCAGACTTCTGGTACTGCTGATCGTGTTGTAGATGAACCTCCTTTGGCTCCACATATTCAAGAACTTATTCGTCGTGGTCAAGAAGATGATGTGCAGAAAGGACAGTTGCTGTTTAAAAGGAATACTAATCGGAATGCATCTCGGAGCGAACCATTAATCACTGTTACTGATGTTGAATTGGTTAGGTTCCGAGATACATTTGGAGATAGATCGGGAGTTGCTGCCTGGGGATTTCATGAGCCTCTTAGGATGTGGATTGTCATTCGAAAGAGTGGTAATTATGAACTATACAAAGACATTCATGTATTTGGGTCATTGACAAGGATCGATCTGACGGAGTTGTCTCAAGCTTCGTTCATCAATCTGATGAATAATCCTCAGGTAACTCAGTTCAAACATTTTCTTGATGATCAAGTGAAGAAGGGATTTCCATCGATGCCAACCGCAGAATCTGTTATATTTGAGCATTCAGATGTTTTGGAGCCGTCCACTGATAAGCCTTTGCAGATTATGATGTGGCCAGCAACAAAGCAAGTCAAGCAATTTCCGGTGCTACAAGGCTATCCTGATGGGTCACTTAGCTCATTGGAATGCTGGTTTTTTGATGAAAATACTTCTAGTGCTGTCATAAAACTTAAAAATGGGTGCATCAGGTTGTATGATCGCAGAGACTTATTGCAGTTCAGGAAATGGGATATTCACTATCTTAGAAACTTCTAGATTAAAGTTGTTGAGGATATGTACGAAGAAGGAGCTAAGGTGTACACGACGATGGTGGCGGAGATTTTGAACAAGCGAATGTGGAATAGAGCAATGGGCCAAATGGACGTGATGATCGTTAACAAGGGGATGGCTTCGAGCTAGTCCAAACCAAGGAGGAGATTGAAAGTCCCTGGATAATGGTTTGGTCTAGGTATAATAGTTAGTGATAGGGGTTGTGTATGAAATCCGATTTTGTCTATAGTTTGCGGTTGTGTATGTGTTTACGGCCGTAAACTCCTTACGGCCGTAAACTCCTTACGGCCGTAAACTCCTCACGGTTGTAAGTGTCTATAAATAGGGTGTTGTGTTAGACTTTTAAGGTTGTTGATGCCTTCGTATTTTCCACCGAGTTGTATCTGACATTTTAAAGCTTTAAGGCATATGCAAGCTTGGTTTGTTCTTTATTTGCTTATTATTTCGTCTTGTGCATTTGCTATTTGTCTTTGATCATTGGTAGATCCGTTTTTCGGACTTTACAAAAAACTCTCCACATATATTGTAGATATAAGAACTTTAAATGCCTCGAGTGCATGTTAATTTAACTTATATACAAGTTTATGGGAAACCCATGTTGAAGTAGGATAGTATAGCTTAATACTTAAACATAAAATCATACAAAATCAAATCAAGCTTACACTAGTTCGAAAACAAAGGGACTAAACTTAACTTAATTAAAAGTTTAAAGGGGTTGAAATGTGTTTACGGTTTTGGGGACACCCAAACTGTAAACACATGCTCTTTGAGGAAAAATCTAGCCGTAAACACCCCTATACTAACAAGCCAAAACCGTAAACCCTAAAGGGTGTAAACCAAGGTGGTGAACCCTTTCCCTTTTGACCCAAATCCATGAACCCTTTTATCCTTTTGACTCAAGACCGTAAACACCCATTCTAGAAGCTCTAAAACCGTAAACATCCCCTACATATATATATATATATATATATATATATATATATATATATATATATATATATATATATATATATATATATATATATATATATATATATATATATATATATATATATATATATATGTGTGTGTGTGTGTGTGTGTGTTTTGGGCGAAAACACTTTCATTTTACTCATTTTCATCCGTGAACACCCCCCAAAATCATCTCAACCACCATCCGTGAACACCCCTTTTTGTCTCAATCTTCAAGAGTTTACGTCCAGATTTCCTTCAAATCTTCATATTCCCATCAAGAACATTCAAACCCACCTTCAAATATTCATATGATCTGCAATCTTCATAATTTCCCTAGATCCAATCGTAAACTCATCAACACCCAACCGTAAACCCATTTTGCCAATCGAAAACACTTTGCAACATTTCCAAATAATTCCAATTAAATTTGTAAGTATTCCTTACATAATTAATTTATTATTTAACACATTATTTAAATTAATATTTTATTAATTTAAATACGATGTCGAATATAATTATTTTTAGGATAACGTTATTCGCGCATATGCTTACCCGAGGATCGTTTCTACATATCGTTAATTCAAACACAAACGCACATTCAAGGTGGGTTCATACCCCTACGTTCTCAATATTTTCCCATGTTTTTAAAGGGGGGGGGGGATACAAGTACAACACAATTAAATTTGTGTAAACATTCAAACGATTTCAAAAGGTTACAAACAATTTCAAATGACTTTAGACTGTTTCAATCAGTTGCAATCATGGTTCTTACAGAAACATATTTTCGTATATATATATATATATATATATATATATATATATATATATATATATATATATATATATATATATATATATATATATATATATATATGTTATATACAAATACGAGTACAAATCTTTAATCCTTTGTAACACGCTGAGCAAAGGAAAATTTTCAGAATAATCATAATTCAAATGGAACGAACATATAAACTATAATAGATATAGTTTATGGAACACCGATATCATAGTTACAAAATACAGAGATACAAAACAAACGAACATATAAACTATAATTGGTATAGTTTATGGGACATAAGTACTATCTTACTAAGTATAGGTTTTATCACAGTAACGAACATATAAACTATATTAGGTATAGTTTATGGAACATATAAACAGTTATTCATTTCAAAGGATTTTCAATTATTCTACACTTAACCGTCGATATAGCTTTGTGAGATAACATCTTCAAGTACTTATTTAAGTGCCAACAAAAGCCCTGAAATTATAACCAGAGTCTCATGGAGGGAGAGCACGAATTTGTTTATAGATCTATACGGGACTGACAACCCCACACCTGAGCTGCTTGCAACAGCTAGGCCGGCAGGCCTATGGTGATAAATGTCGTATCGATTCCGACGCCTAAAGAACGTCATTTCAGGTCATCCTAGGTCATCAAGGATGCTTATAATAACTCACAATTTGGTATTGAACAACACGATTAGTGTATGAATAAGTAACCACTTCACATAGTTTTATTTAAATAATAAGGCTATAAAACATTATTTTACAAGTACCACTGGTGAATTCAGTGGGTTTTAACATAAGTACGAACACAGAAGACTATTCAAGCACAGAGAAAACATATATTCATAGTTTTATGTGAATTAAAACTACCTTTTTACCTTTATAGAGTACTATAACATTTACCCATTTTGAGTTCAACAAATTAAAACAGAAAATATAGGATTTTCTAGGAAAACATACCTACATTTTCAAAGAACAAATTGATGGTTTTCAATTACAAACATGATTATGAACTCACCAACTTAAATGTTGATACACTTTCAAAATCACTTGTATTCTCACGGAACCGATAAGACAGGTACACCCGTAAATTTTGAGAAGATGGATCCTTTAGAGTCACGTCTTTTAATACTTTTGCTACACATTTTTGACGTCATACAAACTATGTATTGAAGAGATGTAAATTTTTTACCTTATCAATGTAATGGTTGTGTTTGCTTTGATTCCTATTCTAAAATTGTTGTGATACTGTAAATGATGTCCTCCACCCCCGAACGTTTCTGCCGTTCTGGTTTGGGGGTATGACTGATTGGTATCAGAGCATTCTTTTATAGTGAACTAAGTATATCGAACCTTACATTATATACAACTATAAACACTAAGGTGCCGAAGCGCTCTGAACTAAAAGTATACTTTTAAAATATAAGTATTTTATAAGAAGTATACAAGTATACATACATACCAGAAACAGTATCACAAGAAAAACAAAACAAAAGTATTTAGATGTTGGACACTATGTTTAAACCTGGACAGTTATGTGATCATATCTGGGATAAATATAGCCTGATCAACTATATTTATTTGAGATACGACCAACATGTGTTTGGGAGTGATAGTGGTGTTGCAACAAGTCTAAAACTTACCAAAGTCTATGAAAATGAAATAACAGAACCGAACATACAATTAAAATACTATAGGAGTATTTTATAGTACCAAAATACTTAAGCTAGACACGTGAAAACAAAGAACAATTGTTGATAGATCTATAATTTCTAAGTGTATACATATAAGTTATATATAAATAATATTTTATAGACTTAGAATAGGTGATTTAAGTTTACTTCCTGTTCCTTGTTTGGTTGTGGACGTAGAGTAGGATCACTTAATCGATGGTCTATTTGGTCTTAGTTATATATAATTGGTGTACACTATGTGATTATAAGGGGGATCAGGCACAAATCACATCGTACAATTTCATTCCAAGTGTTGCTATTAATTAATGGCGATTGTTTACTTGTATTAATAGACTTCCACTGTAAATCGCATAATAGAACATTGTAACTGTCAGGATAAGATATACCATGTTCAATATTACCTGACTCATAACCACCATAAAGGACTTATCATCATTTTTCTCTTAAATTATTTTAGAGAAAGATGCCTTCGAAGAAGTTAAACAAAAAGAA